GGCATTCGAAGACATCTTGGAAGACATTTAGTTCACAGAGAAGATGCTTGATGACTTCTGCAATGCCCTCATTGTGGCTCTCTACAAAAATAAGGGAAGAAAATCAGACTCTGGAAGCTACAGGGGTATCTCACTGCTGTCCATCACAGGCAAGATCTTTGCCTGCATTCTCCCGAGCAGACTTGTCACTGTCTCGGAAAGGAACCTCCCGGAGGTGCAGTGTGGCTTTTGGCCAGAACAGAATACAACAGACATGATATCTGCCATGAGACAAGTCCAGGAGAAGTGCATCGAGCAGAACAAGCCTCTTTACTCTGTCTTCACTGACCTGACAAAGGCATTTCACACTGTAAACAAACAGGGAGGCTCTCTGGGTCATCCTGAGATGTTATGAATGCCTGAGAAAATTCGTGAAGTTGATTCAGCTACTCCATGATGGAATGACAGGACAGGTTCTTTACAACGGTGATACATCAGCTGCATTTGCCATTTGCAGTGGAGTAAAGCAGGGTTGTGTGCTAGCCCCAGACCTGTTCAATCTGTTCTTCGCCTGCATGTTGTCACTTGGTGTCCGGGGTCTGAAGGAGGGAGTGTACATCAGGTACTGATTGACCTTCGCCACTTGAACACACGGTCAAAGTGCCTCCATACAGTCATCCAAGAAACCCTCTTTGCTGATGACGGTGTGCTCCTGGCACACAAAGAAAGAGATCCTTAGTGCTTAGTTGAGACAGGAGACATAGGAAAACAGTTCAGTCACAATATAGTGCACCATGAACACAGAGATGAATATGTGTTTGAGTTTCACTGGGTTTCAGAGTAATAGATATATAATTATTCATGCATTTTGACTTGAGATTTGGATTTGATGTCATTGATGTTTCATTTACAGGTCCTGTTTCATCACCTCTGAGATCAGTTGATTTTTTAAAAGATTATGATGATATTCTCTGTCAGAAATTCATGGTCCCAGATGCTCAAGACCTCATGGACTCTTCAGGTAATTCTCTTTTCCCATTGCCCTTCTTGGATGTGCTGCAGTGATCTCCTTTCAGGATTAGGGGCTTGCCAAGCACCCAGATTGCGATCGTGTGACTGCGGAGGTGCTACAGTGGCCATAACTTTGGGGATCAGTAATAAGTCCATTTTTCAGCATTGTTGTAATTTTAAACGGTTGCTGAATTGAATGGTCATAACTCAAGGACTACTTGTAGTGGTGTGAGTCCAGCAGTAACAATCCCAAGGAAGTTAACATTGTACTGCAACTGGTCCTAATCAGTGACTGGAAAGTACTACATAGGGTCAGAGTGACCAACAACCCCAAAAGGGAGATGACTTAAATTAATAACAAAGGTGGTAGATCCTTGCTTGAACTTTAGTTAGAACCCACCTGGCTTCCAAATGCAGAGAAGCATTTGATATACAAACATGAGACTGTAAAAACAGCTGTACGAAATTTGGATTGAAGAACCTTGAGAGGTCTGAAGAGCTGAGATGCAGCCTGCGTTAGGAATTCTTAACACCAGAGCGTATAGTTCCTGCCTCATCCCTGAGATGTTTCACTGTTTTTGGAACACATTGCCTGATGAAGCATTCTGGAGAACTTGAACATTGGCTCCCTTCATTGTGTTCAAATACAGATCTCTGAACAGAGATGTCTGTCTGTCTGTCTGTCTGTCTGTCTGTCTGTCAATCAATCAATCAATCAATCATATTTATATAGCCGCCCATCTCACACAAGGTGACTGGGCGGCATACAACAATTATACTTACGTAAGGTGCTGTAAAATAATCCAAATCTTGAAATCACAGAACATCTCACTTGGGCACCATGTAAGGTTTGGTGAACTTTGGCTCTTAATTTCAGGCTTTTCATGGGGTTGGTAATGTAGGAAGTCTGAACTTACCAAAGGAATGGCTCCCTGGAGTGGGGAAGCAGGAGCACTCCAATGGGTGCAGGAAAGCCTGGGTATCTTGTTTGGCCCTCCTCAACCAGGGGATGGATGGGAGGAGGTGCCAGGCAGAGGTGGCAGACGGGCTGGAGGGGAGAGTGGGAGCCATCTTGTGTGGTGACTTGAAGACGCCCATGAATTGGTTCCTGAAATGAACAGCCATGATCTTGGTGCATTAAGTGGAACTTCTCTACGTCAGTGGAAATGGATTCACCTCTCTAGTATCCTCTTGGTCACGGTGCCTATTTATCCCTTTCATGAACGGGAGTAGAGAAAACTGCACGCAAGAAAAGATCCATTTTGCATGTGGACTTTACTTCTGGCAATGCTCGTAATGCGTGCAGGTGGTGCTCATTACAAGTATTGCTGTACAAACATGGCCCCTTGATTACGTTGAATTGCCTGAATGCATATATAAAATAACTGCAGTTCCTTTCTCCAGTTTCTTTAAGGGCATACAAGTGGCTAGTTTGTTACTTGCTCCAAGAAAGCACCCAAAAACTGAGAAAGCAGGAAGAATGTGGCTGTGCTGATTTTGAGGCAAAGAACAATAGCCAGGTAAATTTAATGTTCTAATTTCATAGAGTTCTGTGTTTTCCTATCAGTGATGGTAGTAGTCTCCACTCACTTTCATTCCATGGACATGCTTTGTGGAACGAGTATAGAATTCATCTGGAACTCTTAAGACCTGGGGATGTTTTGTTGATGCTCTTCTGTTTCAGACACCTCTTGTTGGGACAATTGTTCAATTAAAAAGCCTAGGCTGTATCAGGGTTGCATTCAGAGTAGTTTCCAGCATAGATTTTTCACTTCAAAGAAATACATGGGTTACATATAAGGAATATGGCAGAGGGATGTTGGAGAGTCGTACGATGTATTACCATCCCAAGTTGCCTGCCCAAATCTGGAAGAATTCTGTCCTCAAGCCCTGCACTCAGGTTACGTATCTAGGGCAGGAGGGGGCAAGTGCTGTCAATTTGGGCCCCACTGGGCTTTGCACAGCACACTGAGGATCACATACCAAAACTGAAGGGAGGGAATAGGATCCATTTTGCCCCTTAATCTCCCAATCCAAAAATGGTGAAGGCCTGAAAGTGCTGGCCCTTCCCATGCAGGGAGGTTCTTGGGGCCACAGAGTGATCCTGGCACATCTCTTTGCATCCTACTTAGGGCATGAATTGTAACTTGCCTCTGTGCGGTGACTCTCTGTTTGACCATTGGTCTCTGCACCTGCTGTCCACAACAATCGTGCCACCCGGTATGAGTGGGCAGTGGAACAAAGCAAGTGCAGAAAACACGCTGGCATTTTTCTAAAGTAGGCCCATAGGGAATGGCAAAGGTTAAGGGGTCCACTCCTCTAAAAATGACCTAAATTGATGGCCATCATTGTAACTAACAGCAGCAAGTTCATGGTTTAAGAACTGTGTACCAGGTTGGGTAAATGTGCTCCATGGGAGCAATTGTAACATATTTTTTTTCATTAAACTTGATAATACACATAATAGAAAATATTATAAATGTAAAAGGAGAAAATTAAGCAAAACTAACTAGAAAAGGAAGAAAAAGAATAAATAAAAAACTAGAAAAATCATTAAAAGGTATCTAAAAGCACAAGATTTTTTTTTTGTTCAGTATAAAAGTCTTAAGTATTTGTAGTACAGATCATTGTAATTCAAAATTTAGATACTGAATTAAACCAGATTATGCAGAATCATACTGTCCAATCTTGCCCCTCTGTCAAAAGAAAAGTAATTCAAAGGCTAAGAGTTGACAGAATTGGTTACACAAACGTCTTTCCAGGAGTACTTTATCATCTTTACAACAACCAGGTACAGTTTATCCAAAATTCATAAAGCAGTTAATTCCAGATTTTGGAATATGGTTTAAGAACAAATTGACTTCTCTGAACCTTAATTTCTAAGAACTGCAGCTTGTGTTAGAACCCTTGGATTCAGTGCAGAAGTACCATATTAAGAACAGAAAGGCCTTTCTGGATCACATCAAAAGGTCCTCTGTTTCCCATCCTGTGTCACAGAACAGGCAACCAGACGCAATGAGGAAACTTGCCAACATAGACAGGAGGGTAGTAGCTCTGGGTCAGTGTTGACTTCTGGCAACTGCCTGGACGAGTCCCTGCAGTTTTCTTGGCAAGATTTCAGAAGTGGTTTGCCCTTGCCTCCTCCTCCCTAGGTCTGAGAGGGAGGCACTGGTCCACGGTCATCCAGCTGGCTTTGTGCCTAAGGCTAAGAGCTAGAACTCACGCTCTCCTGGTTTCTAGCCTGGCCAAAGAGCCAGGCAGTTGTAAATAGTGATCCAGAGTGGCAATCGTGGATCACCTGGCGATCTTCCATGACCTTGTCCAGTTCCCTTTGAAAATGATCAGGAAGGTGCCCATCACCATGTCTGATGACAGTAAATTCTGCAGATGTTGTTCATGCGTGTAAGTGAGCTTTTTTCAAGGGCAGATGGTGGTTCTAAAATACAATTAAAGAAGACACAGTTTGGTATGTTTGTAGCTGCGCTATTATGTTGTCATTCTGAATTGTGCTTTCCCTTTCTTCACAGGTGTATTATTGTCGTTCTTTAGCCATAGCTTTTATTGAACACACAGTTTTACAAAGATACCATAAACACGTGCACAGTTCCAGCACACCAGCAAGCCTTCAATCGGTACTGAAGCTTATTTGTTCACTCTACGGACTGTGGTCTTTAAATAAGCATATGGCAATACTCTACCAAGGTGAGATTGGCTTCATAGGAGCTCTGTGACCCATAAATGTTTGTCATAAAGCACTTACAATTCATCTTATCCACTAACCTGCTTAGAAATTAAGGTGTCCAGTTGCGCCATCTAATAATCAATCTGAAATACACGACATCCTTGCAGTTTCAGCCTCCGTGCTTTTGCATTTTAGCTTTTTAGTGATAACTGTTTTTCTAAAGTAGGATGATGTATTTCTCTTTACTAACTTAGGGTAAACTTTAAATCTTCCATTCTGCTACTTAAAACCTATTTTAGGTTGTCCTGAGTAGAATCATGGCCAAATTGAGCCCTAAGTGAAATCAGCAGGTTCGCTTGCTACTTGCGTGCGTCGTTTGACCCTGCCTCTGAACGCTCAAGATTTAATGGTTAATGAGAAGCTCCTATGCAGGACTGGGGCTGTGCAGCCTTTGGATTCAGGATCCCCCAAGTTGTTGCAGGGGGTGGGCAGCCATGTGATGGTGGGAAGAGAGGCACAGCTGCCTCTCGGATCTGCCCGTGAAGGCCCCTCCACGCTCCGAGGCGCCTTTTCTGAATTGCTTCCCACGTGCTGCACCTCTCTGTGCAGGAGCGTTTCCTCCTCACCCCTTTCCGCATGATGCTGTAACAGTTGTCCTCCTCCGTGCACGAGAGACATTTTGAACCAGGTTAGGTCCTGCCCTCAGCCTGGGAAGAGCAGCTTGGGAACCTGCTTTCTCCTAGGTGGCAGCAGTTGGCAAAGTCTCTGGGTCCCCTTTTGCCTGAAAGAACAAAGTTCCGTCCAGCGATCTGGCCCAAAAACCCTGGCGACGGTTGGACAGACCCTCTAGAAGCCCTCTTCGCGCCTTTCCCTCCCTTCCCCCAGAGAAAAGCCCCCGTGGCTGTTACTTCTGATGGCCTCCCTTGGCTCATTGCCCCCCTCTCGTGGCAATCCCAGAGGGCACTCAAGGCCATTTGGTGAGAGGTGTGGGAACACCCACCCTTAGGGCGGTGCCTCACAAAGGAATGTCCACAAATTCAAAAGGCATGGCAGAATTTTTGGCTCAGCCGAGTCAGCCGTTGGTCCCAAGGTCCAGTTCCCAAAGCCACAACTCTACTTCACAATTTGGAGAAACACTCTTCTCCATTAAACTGGTGGCCAGGGGGCCATTCTGCCCCCACCGAGCCATCGCTCGACTCTCCCGTTTTCCGGTTTGCTATAAATCCAGACCTTTGAAAGTCAGGAGGCCTGGTTGACATTGTCCTCCGGGTCTCCTTGGTCGTTAACCTGAAAAGGGCCACTTAGGCTCCCCAGCTCTTGTGTCCTTTGCTCTTGGCCCCGCTGCCTAGCTCCCCTGGAAGTTGGGTGGTTTGCCCTCCCTCCCTCCCTCCCTCCCTCCCTGAGGGGGAAGGGTGGAGATGATGAAAATGGTGGTGGTCAGATTTTTATCCTATCTTCTATTGTTGTGGGGAAAACAGGAGGCAGAGTATTAGGAAGCTTTGCCTAGTCAACTCAAGACAGCAAACATGGCTAATACTCCTGCCTCCTATTTTCCCCACAACAACAATTCTGTTTGGGGCAAACAGGCATTCAGAGGCTGAGTTATGATGCCCCTTCTTTTACACGCCTGATAAATTAAAAAAAAAAGCCTTGGTTGGCTTTCTCAAAACTGGTAGGAAAGGAGGAAACTCTTCTGCCAACAGGTTTGCTGGTTAGGAGAAGCTGCTGCTTGTCGGGAGCACCTCTGGTCTCCTGGGACAACGGGTTTGAAGCCGGGTGACCCTTGGA